GACTGATGTTGCTGAACGGGGCAGAATCGCAGAAGCAAGCGGGAGGGTGGCAAAGAAGATCCATGGGTGCCGTAGAGTCCAGAGGCCGCCCCAGGGATTCCAGGTGTGGATTGAACTGAAATGAGATGCCTTATAACGTAGTAATCATGCCTCAGGATTTTAGTATGTAAAGGTGGATATGTACACTTTTTTCTTTAGATTGAGGATGAAACTCAAGTCTCTCGAGCAACCCAGGGTGAACAAGATAACTATGAGATGCATGTCAGAGCTGCAAACATTGTGAGTACCATCTGCTGTTCAAATCAGCGGGCAGCGCATCCTTCAGGTACTGTTCGGTTCATTATTGTATCTAGGGCAGCCTTTATAACTCTTACTAGGACTGCTGCTAGAAGAGTAACCTGATATGTGGGGTGGCTGTTGGGTGAGTTCCTTCTCTAGGGGGAAAGCTGGGTAGCCTGGCTTCTCAGCTACAGGCTTCTGTCAGAATGCTCACATAATGTTGGAGTTTCTACTTTATTCAAGGCTTGGGCTGAAGGAATGGCTTGGGAGATCTTGTTTTAGACTTGGAGTAAAGCACTGTTTTGATATACTATGTGCTGTGTGATTTTTCTCCCTGCTACAAGGTCCGAGCTGGTGAGTCCCTGATGAAACTTGTGTCTGACCTGAAGCAGTTCTTGATCCTCAATGATTTCCCCTCTGTGAATGAAGCTATCAACCAGCGCAACCAGCAGCTGAGAAGCTTGCAGGAGGAATGTGACAAGAAGTTGATTGCACTACGGGATGAGATCTCCATTGACCTGTACGAGCTAGAAGAAGAATATTACTCTTCCAGGTACAAATAGGGCAGTGGACTTCTGCCTTATGACTCCAGCCCTTTTGGGGTAGTTAGTCCAGACAGACAAGTAGTCCTTAGAGTATAGGTTTTGAGAATGTTCCCAACAAAATTTCACTCCTGTTTTTAATTAGGTCAAACTCTTTTTCTGCAACTAAAGCAACTGCCTTTTCCTTGTAGATATCCCACAGGATATAAATGTCATGGTGAAGGAGGTATTCACAGCATCCAACTCTAGGTGCCTGCTTTAGTTGGCTAGGTTTGACAGATAATTTGCTTAGGCTTCTTTTGTAATCATTGTAAAAGGAGATGAATTTCCTTGGGGGTATAGGCTTCTGTCTGAGTATCCCTCTGGAGAAGCCTCTGTCTCTCTCCCTAGAGAGCCTAGCTTGCTGAGCTGGGTCCTCATGTTAGGTGAGATTACCACATCTTTGTGGTGAGTTCTCTCACAAGTGACCTGGTTACACAGTGTGCCTTTTTCCTTGTAGTCCACTGCCCCCAGCTGCCTGGAGTCCTGTTGGGGTGAACATTTGAAGTGAGCAAAATAGACTTGCTCAGTTTCATTGAATTATGAAGTATTATGATAGGATTTTCTGTGGAAGACTTATTACTGTTTTGTTTGTGGGATTCTTAATATTTTAAAAAGACTCTTAGAAAATAGCCTTTAGAGAATTCAGACACTTTATTTTTTAATTTTATTTTCTGTCATGCACTCCAGCACTTCTAGCTGATGATGCAGTAAATGAAAGCAGGAGAAGACAAATGAGAACCTGATTATTTTGGCTGCACTGTCCAAGCTAAGTGAAGTCAGTGCAATAATGCTATGACTTCTAAACAAAAACTTAACTTTTGAAAATCCTGTTTAGAATTTTAATGACCAGGTTTTCTATTTTTGCCTTTTCCTTCTTTCTAAAAATACTGAATGCCTATAACCCCAGCTAAGTCAACTAAAACCCTAATTGCTCAATATCTTTGGAAGTTAGGCCATTATGGGTAATATACGTATTTTAAGAGTAAAAAGGTATTGATATGACATAGCCTAGAACGGCTACGACATTGGAAGAAAACTAGAGGTAAAAGTTTAGAGGTGTTTTTCAAACTTTACTCAGTTTTTTGGGGGGGTGGCAAGGGATCCTAGAAATATCTCAGAAATGAAGAGTGATGGTCGCAAACCCAAGCGCCAGTCCAGGCCCTGGTAGGTTAGGGGTGCATCCACTACACAGGCTGCGTACAGCATAGCAATGAGCTGTATCCAAAGCGATGCGGTGTGGGATGATAGTGCCTCATGTGTGCCAGACGTTCTTCTCTCACAGTGTCACCAGCTGCCACCGCTGTGTGTCAGTAGCTTTAACTTCTGGACTAAGCGGTTCTGACCATGCTGGCATGGTCTGTTCACCTGCCTGGCACCAGATGCCATGTAAAGAAACCCCTCGTAACAGAACTAAGATTTAAGCACAAATGGTGGCATACACCAAGCGGATTTGTCTTCGTGCTCTTTCTTATAAGAGTGGTCACGAGGTGAGGAAACTTGGCAACTCTGCAGAGCTATGATCCCTCTACTGAAGCCTCATATCATGTAGCACTTAGTCGTTTGCTTTTAGCACTTACTCCCTTCCTGTGCTCTTTCCTGTCTTTTTCTGCACCAAAGAAATTGTGTGTGTGTAAATACAGAAACAGTGATTTATTCAAAGTCCTTTTATAATTAGAGATATTTTTAATGAAATCTTATTGTCTAATGTGGGGAAAAAGGTTTCTGTTATGTCACATAGCCATAGAGTGATAATCATGTTTAAATGGCTGTCAATGCAATAGGTAGTTTGCCCACAAACAGGTATTCTGTGCTGTCCTGTGAGCCCAGCTGGGGTTACCTCTCTGCACCACTTGTTACTTTCTCGTGGGTCTTGATCCCACAGGATTTATAAAGAGGTGTGCAGTCCTGTGAGGCCAGGACATGGGTTTCATACAGCCATCCTGCCAAACTGCTCTCCTGTGCTCCGGTTTCCCTGAAGGTCGCTGGTTAGTTTATTTTAGGTCATCCCTCCAGGGAAGGCTGTAGAAAAGTGAGCTCCCTGCAGCAGCACACCCCCAGGCGCTGCAAAGCTGAGAGCTTGTTTGGTCCCTGTGCACTGCTGCCGGCTGCTGTGAAAAGCCTGTGGAAGGGAGCGTCTGCTGCCCAGCCATTGTCACTGCCGTTGTGCTGAAGGGGCTTAGGAGACAGCCTCTTGCCCATAATGAGTAATTAATAGGATGCGCCTCAGATGTAGGGCCGCGTTTCGTTGCTAGGCTTTTTATGTGTACACGGAGTTTGTATGAGGAGACCTGAAAGCGGGTCCTTGAAACTAAAGCTGAGTAGATTGTTCTGAAGGAATCTTTGCTTTCAGTCCCCATGTTTGAGTAGTTTCGTAGAGCTGTTCCTCTGCACACAGACCTGGCTGCGTGCCTTGAAGGGAGTAGTGAAGTCCCTTCCACGTGCTGAGAAACCCTCAGCCAAATGACAGACTAGCAGGCTGGCCAGTGCTGTTGTGGCTGTGCAGTAGCTGCTTGTTCACCCAGACTTTTGAGGAGTGTTACGTGAGAGGCAAAGCTTAGACTTTTGGAACTGTTCTCACTGGGGCAGGAGAAGCAGTTATGCTTCTGACACAGCTGAAATGTTGTTAGTAACTCCCTGTGCCAAGCTGTGGCCAGGTGCTCCTTGGAAACTGTGGCCTGAGGTCTAAGACTGACAGAAAAGGAGTCGTAGTTCTGGTTCAGTCCTGAAGGTCTTTGCTAATTGAACCCAACTTCACTGTGTGTTGGGGACTGTAGGGAAGGGTGATCTTCCAAGGGATTTTACAAAGGCCCCAGGTATAAAACCCGTATCCACTGCCTTCTCACTTCTACTGCAACACCAGCTGGGTGGTGCTGCCAGAAAAGAGCTCAGAAGTAGATGCTTGCAACTAGTGCTTTGTTTGCTTATTCCCCAAAGCAGTAACTCCAAGTCCAGCTTGCCTTCTCTCATCCTAAACCCCAAACTTGCATTTATGTTCCATTGCTCCCTCCTCTGAGATCACAGGAGCTGTCTTGAGTGTGGGGTTAGATCTCAACATATTTCATGTTTGTGCAATTTGAAGTGTCTCGTATTTCTACACTTAAAATATTTCCCTAAGCATCTATTCAAGTCCATACATTTAAAATGTAAATAAAGCTGCAACAACAAAATCACTTGACCCATTGGGTTTGTTTTACTCTTAACGCAAGCTGCTTTCTGCTCCAGCACTCACTTTGTCTTGGGTGTCCCTTGTGTGTGCAGCTCCTTCTTCTCTTTGGAATTTGTTTTGGTTTTGTTCCTGTTTCTTCCATCATTTTTCTTTTTAGTTTTGGCCCTTCCGCATTGTGTCTTCCTCAGAGCACAGGCAAGAATTAGCCAATTGCTTAAAAACATTACTTTCCCACACTGCTGGTTCATCCAGCTCTATAGTCCACAGTGGTCAAATCCAGCAAGCTGCTTTTAGAAGAACGGTTAGCTCAGGTTCAGCTGAAAATGGTAGGAGCCACTAATACTTTATAATCAGACTGGGGAGCTTCAATAGAAGACCCAGACCTGTGGAGCACTTTTTTGAAAGGGCAAGGGTGCAAATAGGTTTATTCTTTATCATGACAGGGACAGGCCCTAAAACAATTGTGCTAACTTTTTTGCTGAACTTAAATTCAGGGCAGGATTTATATTTTTTTCCTCACATAGGTTGTGATCTAATTCCAAGTAAAATAATTATGGGCAAGGTCCTTGTCTCACTCAAATCAGTAGCAGAACTCCCATATTTGGGGTGCCAGGACTTCAGCCCAGATCTTTCCAGGGACTTGGAGCGTCTGGATTAGAATTGAGCCTCTGTTTCAGTTTGTAGCAACAGTTCTGTCTCTGAAATTCCCCTGATCCTCACCAGGCCTGTGAGGTTCAAGACCAGCCCTTAAGGAGTGTCTTAGGGAAGGCCAGCGTCACAAGACTTGTGATGAATTTGTGAACGCAGACCTTACATCCGTGAACGTTTTTTTGCCATTTTCTTAATGCTTTGCTTCTGTCTTGCTCCCCCTACCCCTTCCCTCCCTCCCCTCCTCTCTTACTGCACCTGCTGTCTCTCCTTACTGGGGTTGTTTGTTCTGGAAAGCTACAGTCTCTGTGACAGCAATGATCTTCCACTGTGCGAAGCCTACTGGAGACAAGACTTTGCCACGCTGTCCCCCGAAAGCCTCTCCATGCCTCTGACAGCTGCCTCAGCAGAGCAGAGTGTTGCTACCTCGCAGAGCTCAACCCCATCGCACCCTCACGTGAACGGGCACGGGGCAGGCCCCACGGAGCACTCCTGAAGAGGATCCTCTGCTGCTGGACATGTTCCTCCTGGTGGCACTGCGCTGCTAGAAGTCTTCCACCTGCTGTACTGAGCACACGTCTCCCGCTGTCAGGAGAACGCACTGGAGCTGTATTTGCAGGTTTCTGCTCACTGGGTAGCCACAGTGCGTTCTCCACCCCTGGGACCTTGCCATGAGTGCTCCTCTCCCTTAAGAGATAGTGATAAGTAAATACAGAGTTGATAGTTCTAACAAGTTAGAGTTAGGTTTGCTTTTACATGACAGTTACACGTAGAGTTCATTAGAAATCGAGTTTGTTTCTATGTGAGTCTCAGTAAGTACACGCCGGAGTGTTGGGAGTTGAATTTGTTTGGGATAAACTTGAGCCAAATGTGGGGGCAGTGAGTGTTTTGGGGTTTCTACCCTGCTTCCCAAGGTTATGGACATTCTGGCTGCTTTAAAGCTCTCTCAGGATGGCATCTGACCACCTTCATTCTACTTAACTAGAGTAAGAATCTTGTAGTGTTTTTTTACACAGCAGTCTTCACTGTCAGAGTGCTTCACAAACTTGAACTTCTTGCTCGCGGTCGTTTGGGTGGAGGCTCTCGGGAGACCCTTATCGACAAGCAGTATTCTCCCTTTTGAAGACAAAAGGGCAAACTGAGGAATCAGACTGAGGTTTTGATGATGCCACTTGCTCAAGGCCGCAGACAGAAGCAGTGACACACTTTAGTTAGTCCGATTCCTTTTTCAGTGTTTACACAGAAACTTTCTATTAACATAGCCTGAGCTAACATGAAGCCAGCATTTATGTTGGCTAATAGTTCCGTCTAATAAAAAAATCTTGAAATGACTGGGGTGTACAGAGCAGTGAGGGATACTCAGTCCTTCCAAAGAAGCACGTCTGGTGCTTTATCTGCAGCTGTTCAGCACCTTGGCACATCTTTTGCCCTTTTTCTTCGCGGTTGTTCTGCATTGGCTCGAACCGTGCAGCTGAAAGGGGGTGTAGTTGAACTGGAACATGGCCGGGACAGCTCGGCGTCAGAGCCACGGGTGCATTCCAGCGGGCAGCTGAGCCGAGCTTCCCCAGCATCCTGCTGTAACGTCTCGTTTCTTATGATGTGAATTTTGGTATAATTTTTGTTTCATTTTTCTTCCATTCCGTTTATTTTTGTAATTAGGTGGTTCAATAAAACTAACTCTTTTGTATAATTCTTAAAGCGTGTGTTTTCAGCCACAAGGCTTGTGAAAATACAACATTATGCGTGAGCACGTACGAGGACAAGCGTTCTCCCACGTTTTGAAGAAAACCCCGCTCCTCCTGTTGCGGCGTAGGCGCTGCAGTCCCACCGCTGCCCCAGCAACCAGCGTTACCGTCAGGCCTGTCAGAGCGCCCGGCTCTGGGAACCCCC